TAACTCTGAATATCTGCTTATTTAGTCCTATTAAATATTACCATCAGTGTTGTATAACTGACATGAGAGTATTGAATAACACCACTATCAGTTAACATTTTAATTGGAATTTTAAATTATTTAATAAGGCTTCCAACTTGAGTCATGTACAGACTAACTTGCAATTGAAGTTTATCATTAAATAGTTTATAATTTAGCAGTGAACTACATTAATGCAATGCTTTTTTCTAATGGTAAAATTAGGGTATTTTAATTTCACAAAAAATCTTAGTAGGTTTATAAAATTCTTTAAGGTAATACAGAAGTCAGTAATAACCATTGGTATTGTGTCCATACGAATATTTAAAGAAAGGCTAGTCTGTACCCTTGACATAATTTGATAAGTAGGGCCAAATTTAAATATTTCTGGGCCACTTTCAGAAATGGAAATTTCCATTGTCTTTAAGAAATAGGAAAGATGAGACATCAAGTTAATAAATAGTCTTAAATAAAGGAAAATGGTTTGATTAAACAAAATGAAAAGTTAACATTTTTTCATGGTACAACATTCTTTTACAATTTACATGTCAAAATTTAGTTCCCCACTCTAGAATATCAAGTTCCTTGCTTACGAATTATCTTTATGTATCTATGTCATGAAATTTCCTAGTAACTCTTAGTACAGAAAGTCTTTGTACAAACCTGAACTTCTCAGTCTTGCTGCTAGAAACTATCCTAATTTTTGGAATAACGTGCAGGGACTTCTTTTTTTTAAGAGGGTGCTATTTTTTTTTGTAAATATATTTTTTAAATCCTGTAATTATGTCTGTATAGCAAAATAAATAAATAAACATGCCTGTAAGATTGAGTAGACCAGCTTTATCTAGCCAGAAAATTTTTTAAAAAACAAGTGCCTTTAATAAGTGAGCCAAAGACAAATACCGTATGATTTCACTTATATGTGGAATCTAAACAAAACTAACAAACTCTTAAATATAGAGAACAAACTGGTAGTTGCCACAGGGGAGGTGGGTGGGGTGGGATGGTGGGCAAAAGAGATGAAAAGGATTACGAGGTACAAACTTCCAGAGATGAAAATACAGCATAGGAAATGTGAATAAAACTGTGATAACGTTGCATGGTGACTACACTTGACCGTGGTGAGCACTGAGTAATGTATGGAATTGTTGGATCACTATGTTGCACACCTGAAACCAGTATAACATTGTATGTCAATTATACTTCAATAAGTTTTTACAGATGCCTTTTTAAAAAAATGTATGCCTTTAGGCAGCAGTGCACTTTCCTTTAGAATCCTTACCACTGTTTATCACAGCTGCTTCACATACCACTTTTCTGGCACCTGAAGGCTTTTGTGACCTGTGCTATAAATTATAGCATAGTGAGTTATTTAGTTTCTTACATTACTATCTTGATCAGAAAAGTACTGTTTGTATAAAGTTAAAGGTAGAAATAATAAAGTTGTCATATTAGTTATGTTATTTAGTCATTCTTTTATATGAATGGCTGGCATAATGTAGAAGTAATCCTTTGATCAATTAAACCCCTAAAAACAAAAGATTTTTTGTTATCCTGGAGCAACATATGCAATAGAAGTATAGAAAAAGAAAGTACTGAGATTATTAGTATTTGTAGGTAAGATGATTACCTGACAAACCTAAGAGTTAACTGGAAAATCAACTGAAAATGCTCTAGTAACAGTTGTGAGAATTGTGCTGCATCTTTAACATCCTAAACTCTGTCATAAAAGGTTGATTTTGTGGATAGTTATCATTAAAACCTAGCCACGATAAAAACTATGTAAATTTTCTTGGAATTGTAGGATGTAGGTAGTATAAGAAGAAATAAATGGTGTATAGTGGGAATATATATTTTTAATGCATTTAGGTGGCAAATAACAACAGGTAAATATACAAAAGTCAATATCCTGTAAGTCCATAATCAGAAAATGTAATGGAAATCATTCCATTCATACAACAAGCATAAAATGAAAAAGGTTTAAAAGAAACTTAAGACATTTTTACAAAGATATATAAACTCCACTGAAGGTTTTGAAAGAAGACTTGAATAAATGAAAATACATATATCAGACTTTTTGGGATAGTACTAAACGCTGTGCCCTGTGGACATGTTTAAAACTGAGGAAGGAAGGTTTAAAGCTGAGCGGCACTTCCAGTGCCATCAAGAGGAGCAAAAATCAAAGCCCAGGACTTCAGAGGTCGGGTGTCTGGTAAATTACCTCCCATTTTAAGATGACACACTGAAAGAAAAGAGTGGAACGGTGTCCAAGACAGCGCTGTCGTGAATTTGCATCCAGACCTTGTGTCCTGTGAGTGATCTGACCTGGATTAAGTGGTCAAACCTGTATTAAGATACTGAGTTGTAATGCCCCCAGCTCCCTGGAAGAACCAAACAAAACTCCTCTTGGAGAAAGGTATCATTATCCTAGGCCTGAAATTAGTCCTATGAGTGTGTGTGTGTGTGTGTGTGTGTGTGTGTGTGTGTGTGTATGTATGTGTGTGTCTGTGTGATGTAGTTAAAGGACTAATTTCAGGCCTAGGATAATATATACATATGTATATACATATATATGCACACACACATATGCACACGTGTGTATTTTTGCATACAATGTTCAGCTCATAAATATAACCAGGTACACATACACACATGGCATCAAGAGCAATAAGCAGCAGGACCAACAGACAAGAGATTACCAGAAAATCTTGAGATACTGGAATTATCAAAGAGAGTAAACCATATTTACCAAGTTGAAAATAATAAAAGCAAAGATAGTATATAATGGTAGGAAGTTGGAAACTATACAATAGTGACAAGACAGATTTGAAAAAGGACAAGTTTTAGAATCAGAAAATAAAATACCTGAAATTAATTCAGTGTGCAAGACTAACAGATAAAGCTGAAGTGAACATTAGTGAATTGGAAGATAAATTTCAGAAGAAGCTATACAAGAAGGAACACGAAAAATAGGGAAAATACAGAAGACTAAGACTCAAAGAGGATACAGTGAGAAGATCTCTATTTTATTGGAGTCCCAAAAGAAAGGAGGAAATAAAGACCAAAGGAGGTATTTGAAGAACAAAACAGACCAATGGAACAGTATAGAGTTTAATAAAAACAAATCCCATAATGACAGAGACGGCACTGTAGAGCAGTGTGGAATGGTTGAGATTTTCAGTGATTGGTAATTGAGTATACAAATAGAAAAAATGGAGTTGGACCATAAACAAAAATCAATTATATTTGGATTGTAGGCCTAAAAATGTGAAGGGCAAAACAATAAAGCCTTTCAAGGGTAATGTAAAATAATCTTTTTGACCTTTGGGTAGAGGAAGATTTCTTTAACTTACACAGAGTCACATTACAATTAAAAACATGCTAAGCAGGGGGCAGCTGGGTGTCTGATTTGGTTAAATGTCAGACTTGGATTCGGCTCAGGTCGTGACCTCAGGGTCGTGAGATCAAGCCTCTAGTGCTCTGCGCTTGCTTGGAGTCTGCTTCTCCCATGTTCCCTTTCGCCTTTCCCCCGTGCATGTACACTCTCTCTCAAAGAAATGAATAAAATCTTTTTAAAAAAAACCATGCTAAGCAAAAAAAAAAAGGCATGGGAGGGAATCATTTGTCATACAACCCACAAAAGTCTTAAATATACTGAGAACAAAACAAAGCTATAAATCAATAAAAAGGCAGCCCCATGGAAAAATGAGTAAAATATTTAATACTTCACCAAAGATGAAACTCAAATTATCAAAGGGATTTAAAATATTAAGAGAACTCAATACTTATTCTGGTTTTATTAGAATAGAAAATTAAATGGAATCTAAATAGCAATAATGGATCAGCTAGTTAAAATTTTATACATATAAGAATGCCATTCTTTACAAATGATTAGCGTTATATTAATAGGCTTACAAAATATATTAGTGTACAGAACATTATCCTTTGATAAACATTATTATGTGAAGTCAGAATATTTTAAAACGTGTGGAGGACAATACTTGCAATGATTTTAATGACTTATCTCTTTTAATTGTATTTTCTAATGTTTCTAAATTGAGCATGTACTGTATTTTATGCAATTGATAGCAAACAATGTACCCAAAATAGGGCATTATATCCATTTTTCCATTATGGGAATCACCTATTTTTTTATTAAAATTCTGAAGGAATCAGCCATCTCTTAGCGTTAGAAAAATGCATGCTCATGCACAGAAGCACATAACCATATACTATGTGCAGTAGCAAAACAAAGAATATGGAATAATTATTAGTATTGTGAAGCTATAGATCAGTACTGAGTGACTATCATCATTCCATTTTCTTTTCACTTAAATGGATCCTTTATTTTTTCTGGGTTTTTCTGCTTCCCTTTTTCTCTTCTGCTTTTAGGATGCTTAGATGCCCTTTATGTATATAGAATATATATATACACACACTTTTTTTTTTTACAACTTTGAATTTACAAAGTCTAGAGCTTTTCAAAGGAAAAGTTTATTAAAAGTTTATAAGAATGGGATTCATTTTGATAGCTTTAGAATCTTAAGATTTCTGTAAGATGTTTAATTTTGGACTTTTCACAGGAAAAAAATGAGCCCTTTCTAAAGTAACTTTTCTGATAAATGAGTATGTTATTTGAAAAATGATTTAGAATATGTTGGTTTTAACAGGAAAGGATTTGTTTTCTGGATTTTTCTGTCATAGCAAGAGGGTTTTGTTTTGTTTTTTAGTTTGGGTAGGATATTACCTGGCAGATTAAAAAAATATGATGTGCTGTATTTGTTTTGCCACAACTTCCAAGAAGCTTCCAGATTAATTAGGTTTCATTGCTCATCCATATATACTTCTCTGCTCCAGCTTATAATTGTTTTTAGGTTATTAATTCATCTTTTTTGGAAGTAGGGGCAAATGTATGTATATGTACATATGCACACACGTAAGTGCAATCACTGTATAAATATGCTGTTTTAAATTTCTTTTAGCCAACAAATGGAATCTTCTTGAGCATGTTTCTGATAGTTTTACCATTGGAATCCATGGCTCATGGACTCTTCCATGAATTGGGTAACTGTTTAGGAGGAACATCTGTTGGATATGCTATTGTGATTCCCACCAACTTTTGCAGGTACAGTAATCTAGTATAATTAGTAGTGACTGTTTTACTCAACATTTTCCTAATATTTGTATGAATTTGAATATAAAATGTGATAGCTCATTTTTTCAAAAGTATATTTTCAAAATATAATGCTCTTGCAGTTTTTTTCATTTATGCCAAATGTTTAAAAACTTTTATTTACTCTGCATAATGATGTAATCTTCAGGATTCAATTTAAATATTTTTTTGATAAATGTGATTAGCTTATACTTGGCTAAAAATCAGAAAATAGGAATAATGGTTCTAAGGAAAGTTCCTACCCTTTCTTTAGAAAAGGTTTATCTTGTTTAAGAAAATGTCGTGTGAAACAACATGGTGAAATTTAATAGAATGTATACTGGACCTGAGAGTCCTAAATGCTAGTTCTGTGTTACCCTAAGCAAATCATAACTTCTCTGAACTTCAGTGTTTTTACCTAAAATGCCAACGACAGGGGCATCTGAGTGGCTCGGTTAAGTGTCCGACTCTGGTTTTCAGCTCAGGTCATCATCTCAGGGTGGTGAGATCAAGCCCCACGTTGGGCTCTGCGCTGGGCATGGAGCCTGCTTAAGATTCTCTCTTTCCCTCTCCCTCTGCCCCTCCCCCCTCAAAAAAAATGCAAACAACAATACCTAGTCTTCCCATCTCAGAGGAACATTATGAAGAGCTAATGAGAATATGAATGTAAAAATACTCTGCTTACTGGAAAAATTGGGAATGAAGTTAAACATGTATTAGTTTCGTTGTAGTTTTATTCCAAAATAATTTTTGTCCCTAAATTGTGTGGCAAATCTTTTTGAATCTGTAAATATTGCCACATTAAAATTTTTTTTATAGTAAGTACCTTTGAAACAGAAAAAAATCATTCTTTGCTGTTAATAAGTTTTGATTATCCTTGGTGGTTTTTGGGGTGGGGGAGGGGGAAGACTAGAAATAAATTTTTTATTTCAAATCTTTGACATAAAAACCAAAACAGACTATTTGTAGTAAATATTTTCCTTCATGTTGAAGGCTTTATAAAGAGCTGCAAATTCTTATGAGGAGTAGAAGAAATAGATTTAAGAGGGTCCCATAAAGTAAGATGTGACAGTTTAGCAGGGAGAATATGTGGAAATAGTAATTTGCACACATTTTTATTCTGATTTTTGTTAATACATTGCTTATTCTTTTACTGTTTGTGACTGCTAAATGTTACAAATAGAGAACAAAGTGTCTTCTTATTTTAATGAAAACTAGTGTCATTAGAATAGTACTGATAATATATGAAGCAAAATATGAGGTTTTCAAAACTACTGCAAGAAATTCCTTTTCTGGATAGGAGTGATGATTTTTTTTCTTGCTCGATATTGATATTTTGATTCTGCTAGCTTTAAGACATGGTTTTTCATCTTTACTATAGTACCATTTTACATTTGTTCTAGGATCAGATCTGTTTTCACTTAGTGTTCAGTAGTATAAGGCAGTGGGCCTAAATTTTAATAACCTTTTCAAAATGTCATTTACTAACAATTTCTTCTGTCATTTATGTTCCTTAAGTTAGAACTTGAATGCAACTTTATAAAGACTCTTTTTCAATATAGAAATATAAAACATTGCTTCCATATTTTGTTAAAATTTTTTTGTTAAGGAAAAAAAAGTTCTTTCATTATAATTCCCACCTGAGTGTTCTTGAAACACAGGGTAAAATCAGTATGATCTTGCTTTTAGAAAGTCTTATTCAATATCTGTCATTTGGTAAAAGTGTATGAACACAGAACAAAGAATAATATTATCTACTTTTGGAGATCTTTTCCCAGCTTTCAGGTTGGTGATTGTTTCATTGGCTATATAAAAGTTATATAGAAATACAACTTTTAGAAACTAGGCTTCGATGTTCAAGCTTAATTCTTAGCACTTTAGAAAAGAAGATTTAAAAAAAATTCTGCCATTTAGTTATCAGCAGCTCTTATGATGCTAATTATAAATGAAGAATAAGAATGTGACATAGAATGACACTCTTTATAAACACCGAAATAATTTTTTTTTTCTTCAGTCCTGATGGTCAGCCAACACTTCTTCCCCCAGAACATGTACAGGAGTTAAATTTGAGGTCTACTGGCATGCTCAATGCTATCCAAAGATTTTTTGCATATCATATGATTGAGACCTATGGATGTGACTATTCCACAAGTGGACTGTCTTTTGATACTCTACATTCCAAACTGAAATCTTTCCTTGAACTTCGGACTGTGGATGGACCTAGACATGATACGTATGTTTTGTATTACAGTGGGCACACCCATGGCACGGGAGAGTGGGCTCTTGCAGGTAAATGCACCTCTGGCAATTTAACTGTTATGAAGATAGACCTATTTATGGAAATCTGCCCTTCACACTGAAACATTAAATTTCCAAAATTCTCAATTTTCTACTTCACAGTTTACTAAGTATACAGATGACTGTTTTGTTTTTCTCTAGCATACCTGTTTAGCATAGTATTAGTAATCTCTAAAGGTTTTGAGAATTATGTCTTAGTTGGAAGAAAAAAATCTGCTTACTCTGAGACATTATCAGTTTCCCTTTAATGTATTTTCAGAATTATTAAATATAGTTATATTTTTCAGAAGCTGATTAACTTGACTAGTACTTCTAAGTCTTTAAATGTTATGGATGCTGATTTCAATAGTTATGCGCATGTGCAGTTTTATTTAAGTTAGAAAACTCACCAGGAGTTTAAACAGCCAAGTGAGATAAAATGGTGGGAGTAGCTCTTAGGTCAGGAGACCTTGGTTCTGGTCCTGATTTTGTCACAATAGTGTTATTTTTGTCACCAACTTCTCTCAGTTTCATTTCTCTCCTCTGTAAAATGAGGGGGTTATAATAAATCTTCTTGCCAATGGTAAAATGAGATCTATATTATATGTAAATTTGTTCTTTGGGCTTCCCAACTAGAAGAGAGACCATGTAAGTCATGGGCTTTGTCTTAGGAATTATTTGCCTACCACCTAGAACAGAGCCTAGCAGATCCCTAGTAGGGATCCTCAAGTAATAGATCATTGAATGAATCATGGGGAAAAAGGGGGGGGGGCGTAATTTTCTTATTTTATGTTAGAAATAGTTCTTTTAGAACTTAATTCTATCCTGCTTTTTTCTTAAATATTATAGATGTTTTATACTAAGAACACCTACAAATAATAAAATAGACATAAGTAGAAATAGATACTCAGATCAAGGACATATATAAATAGAAGTGTTCTGGAAGGACAGAGGTAGAGCTCCCGACATAAGAACTCCAAGTAGAGATGATTCAAGGTTAAAGTAGAGATGATTTTAAACCATCATGGTCTCACTAATTTCATGCTAGGTTTGTAATGAGGGTTTCATCATAAAAACTGTTGTAATTTTTGGTTTTGCAAATAAATATTGAATAACTTAATGGCTGTCTAGGAGTGAAGGCAAACATTTATTGGGCACATTTGAAGCAGTTACTATGCTTGGTACTTTATATACATTAAATTTAATCTTCATTTAAAAAACTTTGAGGAAAGTACTATCACCTCTATCATCTTCATTTTTCAAAGAATAAAATGAAAATCTAAAGTTGTTACATATCTGTGGTCATACAACTGGCAAGTGATGGAACCATGATGCAAATCCAGATCTGCCTAACCCCTTAAAGTGTATTTTTCCCCCATTGTACCATGTGCTGCCAAGGCTAAAACCATTAAGGTAGAGAAAAATCATGTTCTGGTTTAGTAGATATTTTTGTTAGCGCTGTTCACCCATTTTCTAAATACTATCGAAGAAGGTAGTCAACATCAAAATTACTTGAATATAGTTTGTGAAATCTTTTACTTGACCTGTAGCTTTTTAATAAGTCAATGTAGAAAACTTTTTAAACTTTTATGGCTATTTTAATTCTAGGTAAAGTATAGCATTCTGTGTACTTGACCTTAGAGCACAGAAGAAAAAGTTATGGTCAATTCAGAAATCTTTACAGAAATAGAATTTCAGACCTACAACCCAGGATTGATTATTGAAAACTTACTGTAATGCTTATAATAATGAACTCTCCCCAAATCAAATGGGGAGAAAAGGCATAATTTTGGTGGTCATGCATATATCCTTGGTTATTTTAAGTATTTTAAGAAAGTAATTTTAAAAGTAAGCTTGTTGATGTTTACATGAAGGATTTATTAATATAAGCATTTTTCAGTAAGTTTATATTTTTCCTCTTAAATCTTTTAAAAATTTATTTCAATTATCTTTTAAATGATGGCTTTGGGAAAAAATTCTAGATGTACAGTTTACTACTATTTACATCAACTTTTCTTTTCCTAGGAAAAATAGACACCAAGATAAATAACATATATATCAGTGTTCTTAAATTTTCACTCACTATGAGTTAGCAATAATTTATGAAGACTTAAAAACTCTAAAGTCTGGCTATATTTTAGGTAAATATCTAGCAATTACATTCTGGAATGGTATCTTTATAATATTTTTTGACTATGTCACCAATGAGTTGACCATTATAGAATTCCTCTCTTAGCCAAGAAGATTTGTTCTTGTAGGTGTAACTTTCTTTGTTGGAGACTTTATTGTAAAAAGTAGAAGAACACAATGGAAAAAGCGCATAGCCCTGCCTTCAGGATGGGTAGGTTCATCCATCCTAATTCAGCAACTCTGTACTCTCTCAGCTTGAGGCACCAAGCCCACTTGGAGGTAACCAGGTTGAACCAGGCATAGAGGCTGAGCCCTCCTTTCAGTCAATTCCTGCCCTGGGCTGCTAGAGACATAGCCCTCAAAGGCAGATAGTACTCAAAAATAGTACTGAACCCTCCTGCTCAGAGGAAAATGCTTTAATCCATTCCAGCCCATGTGACAGCTTTGAGCTCTGAGAATTATCTTTCTAAAAACCTGTAAAATTGAAAACATGACTGGATTTTACATGAGTTAGCAAGTTAAGAGCAGGTCCAGAACTAAATACCACTGTGAGAAAGAAAATCTGTGTTTGCCCTTATATCACCTAACTTTACTCACACTACTTCTTAGAATATGTAGTAATCTCCTTACATTTATGGAGTTTCATAATATGGAATTGGATATTTTTGCCTCTTTCAGAGTAAAAACAATTATGATAATGACAAGAGAGAAATAAATGAAAAAAATGTAGATAATCTATAAAGCAGTTTATCACAGATAAACAAAGCCTTTAAAAAGCAGTCTCAATTACTTTAACTGCATCAGATGGCTGTTAGCTGAGATAAATTTAAGTACTTTCCATCTGGGCCAAAAGCCAAATGCAACATAGAACCTATTCATAGGAGAAAGCAGAGCAAACCAAACAGGAGAAGAGAAATAGTCATTTGTAAAGGCTTTAATGCCCCTTTAAATCTTTTATTGATATCTAAAGAGCATGTATATAAGAGAATTAGTGTAGAATGTGCTTTTAGAATATTTATTGAAATAGTTGTAGAAGGCAAGTTAGACATGATGTTTTGTGGCAGATGGATTTTGTATAATAGCTCTTGTAATTTGTGTCATTCTCTGACCGCTAGAGAAATTGAAGAGAACTGACAATAATGAAAAGTTAACATTTTACCATATAATAAAAGGTTATCTTCTGGGAGCTCTCTGTGAAGCAACACATTAGTAATATGTGGAGACCATGTATTGAAATAGTGGCTCTGAAATGATAAGCATGAGTATAAGAACAATCCATGAAACAACTTTTTCATTGTCAAGAATCTAAGATATAGTAGGCTGATGAATAAAAGAATATTAATTGTTCATAAAGAATGTGTTATGCCCTGGCTTCAGAGGTCATATTCCTAAAAGAATCCAAATACTAAAGGATTCTCTCTCTCTCTCCAGTGTCATTTTGATAGTTTAGCAAAGAGAATGGTTGCTCTAGGTAGAAATGTGTATCTGAGGTTGCTGGAGCTTGTGCCAGTAAATTGTACCATGTTAAGACTTTTTTCTAATCATAAAAGTAACATATACTCAATATAAAAATGGTGGAAAATACAGGAAAGTGTAACAAATACCACCTGAAATCCAAACACCCAGCAATACCACTATGGTTTTTGTTGATACACTTCCATGTTATGCTTTCTCTCCTAGTATCATAGACATTTTCTCATCATTAAAATTTCTTTATAAATACCATTTTATTATAATTCTCCCTCACAATTTATTTCCATTCCTCCTGGTCATTTCAGATTTTACACTATCATAGATAGCAGTGGGAAGAGAAGATCTTTATATGTAATTTTTGTCCCCATTTCTGCCCTTTCTGTAGGATAAATTCCCTAGAATTGGAATGATTCTATGAATTATTAATGTACTGTTGAAACAGAGCCATGAGTAGGGTAAGGATGGCAATTGCTTGAGTCACAGAATTTAAGAGGATGCCAAAAATTAAATAGTCAAGATAGTATTTTAGTGCAATATATTTAAAAATCAAAATTAATACAAAAAGACCTATTATAATGAACTAGATGTAAAACCTACTAGCTTTAAGACAAATTTGCTTTAGACCTTTCCGGTTATGTATTTTTTTTAATCCTGTGTTGTTTTTCAGGTAATAAAACACATTTAAAGGTCCATTCTAAACTCATTCTTGGTACAGGTAGGAAGAGTGTTTCTTTTTCCTTTGGTAGATGCCTATATACAAGGCAAGGTAACATTAATTTATGAGTGATTAGTGATTTATCAAAAGACCAACAAACTTTTTCTGTAAAGGGCCAGGTATTTTTGGCTTAGTAGTCCTAAGGTCCCTATTGTAACTGCTCAGCTCAGGCACTGTAGAACAAAAGCAGCCATAGACAGAATGCACGTGAATGTTATTTATGGAAATAATAAGAAATTTGAGATTCCTGTATTTTCACATGTCACAAACTTTTGTTCTTTTGATTTTTAACCATGTTAAAATGTAAATCAGTTCTTGGCTGTCAGGCTGTACAAACACAGGTGACATGCTGGATTGGCCCATGAGCCATAATTTGCTGCCTGTGATACAGAATATTAGCTTTTCATTTTTTTCACTAAATTTTAATTTTTTCACTAAATTTAACTTCATAAAAACAATTTTCTTAATTTATTATAACCTATTTCCTTTTTAATATAACAAGGTGTTTTGTTTTTTTTTTTACCTGAAGTGGAAAGTCTGTTTTTAAAAAACTCTTCTGACAAGAGACTTTGAAAGGAAGGTTCCATCTATTTTTTTTGGCCTACATCTTTAATTCCAGGAACTTAAACTATACTTAAGAAGAGGCTTCAGAAATTATTACTCTATTGAATTTTCTTTTGTTCACAGGTGGAGACATACTGCGCCTTGACACACTTTTAGAATGGTGGAGAGAAAAGAATGCCTCCTTCTGTTCTCGCCTTATTATCGTATTAGACAGTGAGAATTCAACTCCGTGGGTGAAAGAAGTGAGAAAAATCAATGATCAGTACATTGCGGTGCAAGGAGCAGAGATGACAAAGACCATAGATATTGAAGAAGCTGACCCACCACAGCTGGGTGACTTTACAAAGGACTGGGTAGAATATAACTGCAACCCCAGTAATAACATCTGCTGGACTGAAAAGGGACGCACTGTGAAAGCAGTCTACGGTGTGTCAAAGCGGTGGAGTGACTACACTCTGCATCTGCCAACAGGCAGCGATGTGGCCAAGCACTGGATGTTACACTTTCCTCGTATTACATATCCACTGGTGCATTTGGCAAATTGGTTGTGCGGTCTGAACCTTTTTTGGATCTGCAAAAGTTGTTTTAGGTGTTTGAAAAGATTAAAAATGAGTTGGTTTCTTCCTACTGTGCTGGACACAGGACAAGGCTTCAAACTTGTCAAATCTTAATTTGGAACCCAAAGTGGAATATTATTGAGAGTTCATACTACCGGTTTCCACTAACTTGCCATTTTTTGTATATGGTTTTTTTATTTGTGAAAAATACCTTGCTACTTCTGTAGCTGCTCTCACTTTGTCTTTTCTCAAGTAATTATGGTGTATGTAAGATGTTGGGAATAAGCATTTTATCCTACAAGTATGTAAGGAGTCATAAATGCTGATGCTGTGTAAATGCATCACAGAGGTTAAAAATAACTGCACTTTGAGGAATGTTTGCATATGCCTCTGATTAGAAAGAAAACACTTGTCTGTGCTCTGCAGTGGCCAATGAGGAATTAATAATGCCTTATTTTCTAGGCATAGATTAGAGATTGTAGACCAGACCGTTTACTATTATAAGAAAATTTCCAATTTGCTTACAAAAAGATTTTTTTTTTTTTGTCAACAGTAGGTTTGAGTCCAAGACCTTTTGAAGAATTACAAACTCTTTCTTAAAAAAGGATAAAGGGAGAAGCCTGAAATGAGTACAAAAATTTGCTTATAGTCTACCATTCAGATGTCTTGGTTGTGGCCTATTACCAGTGTAGTAGTAAAGCCCAAAAGACTGTTGAGATCAAAACATTCTTCCTGTAGGTAACTGTAAGAGGCTAGAAGCCTACAGATCGCTCCTTCCTGCATTGTTGGGGTGGAGGGAGGGGCTCTGAAAGCACTGGCAATTTTAAGAGTCTTTCTCAGGGTAACTGTTTTAATGAACAATGTTTCCAGCTACAAATTCCTTCCAAATAAATTGTCTTCCCTTTCGAAAAGTAAACTTTTTAAAAATTTAGCAATTTCTCATTGATTGAGGCTATTTTCGCTATTCAGAAATGATTTTGATCTCTATGGAATTAATGCTCTGCCATGAAAATTATCTTTCAGATCTCTCATTAGTGATGACATTTTTTTCTACAGAAGGTCAAAGGATTGAAAACAGGTCATTTTTTTTCTTGTATACATGTAATGTATTATGTAAAAAAAGTATTCGTATTGGCAATTTTAGTTTGCCAGTGTTTAGTTTTAGTTTGCATAATGGTGTGGTTGTAATTTTTAAAACTTAATTCAGTGTTTTATCTGATTAAAGCAGGCACTGATCAGGGTATCCCCTAAGAGGTAATTTACCCCCTGTTCCCTTCCAGTAATCCTTACATTCTAAATTTTCATATCTGAGAAATAACAAGAGAGGAGTAGAAGTAAATTAGGGGATAATCTAATCTTTGTTGTTTAAAGTGTGACTTCTCACCACTGAAGCCATTTTTCCATCCTCAGAGAGAGGAACTAATGCCTCTACCATTTTCTACCTGGTGACTTGAACATTGAAGTTTTTGTTAGGTAGAAGTCACTTAGTGTCAGGGAACTTGTATACCACTATCTATGCAGCCTTGTTACAGTCTGATGATTTCTGTGTTTTGAACATGATTTTCCTAATACTTTGAATAAAATTTTAAAAATTTTTCATGTAATGTGCAAAAAAACAGTTACTGAATAATTTTAATATATTAAAAGTGATAGTCATAAAAAATGCCCATGTGTTATTAGAGTTCATGGTTGGTAGGTTGATTTGAAATTTTCCAAGATTTGGTTACATATTTATATCAACATTATCCAAATGAAATAGTTTAATGTTTCATTACTATCCAGAATTAGTATAAGCAGAAAAGTCGTGTTAAAATTATGAGCTTTTAGCTACAAAAAAATAACATTAAGTAAAATCTTTTAAATTTCCAAGCCAATATTGAGCAAATTAGCTTTAATTAAAGCATATATCTTTACTCTGAGAAAGCCAAATATAAAGGTATATTCTGCATTCTGTATAAAGTAAGATGGTACTAAAAATCCGATTCAAAAGGTAGCAGACTTTACAGCCACAAAGCTAGTGTTCTGATATCCATTTTCTATGACCAGAAAAGTTCTGAGCTAAAAATGTGATTCAAGCCAATTAATAACCACAAAGTCACAGAATATCCAATCCACTTTGATGAATTCCCCTCCCAAACAAAAAACTATAAAATGACAAGAGGTGGCATCCTAAATTAAAGCTGCCATTTTAAAACATTAAAGTAACTGACAGAATATAAAGAACATTATAGGAGGGATAAATTGATTGGTTACTCTAACTTAAAGATTAAAAACTATATCTGACAATTAGTAAGGATAATTTTCTCATGGCTTTCATTTTATATACCATATGTTTACAAAGGAGTTACTGGGAGTGATAGGATTACTTTAGGGCAAAACTTTATCACCCCACTAAAAAATAGTTAACATGGAGATGTTTTTCAACATAATGTTGATTTAATTTTTCTTATACGATACCTTGCTGAAACCAGAAAAACACTACCCCCTAAAAACATCTTTTAAAAAACTATATACTGTTTGTGATGAATTAAGGAGCCAAGTTCTTTCTCTTCTTATAATTTTTCAGTTATGCTATTATTTCATTAAGAATTTTTGTTTTAGTTTGCTCTGACTAAACTCTTCTTCCCTGGGATATTTGGATTTATCTTTGCATAGCTTTCTATCTTGCTCTTAGTACAGAATTGTACAGAAGACCATTTTTATGAGCAGTGTTTTCGTAAGTTTATTAAAAGTTGCATTACTAATTAAAATGCATTTATATTGAATGCATTAGTGGGTAGATCTTTTTTAAGTAAAATCTTCATTAGAATCTATTTGTAACTTAAATTAGAATCTATTTGTAACTCTACATTTTGTTTGTTAAGTTTGGCCTAAATATATTTGCTGTTGTGGGTACTGCCTTTTATATGTATTCTTTGCCATTTAGAGTTGTCTCCTTCAAAGTAGTGTTCTACATTACCTTCCACAGAGGATAGCTAACATGTATGCCAGAAGAAAATGTATGCCTAACAACTAAGAAAGTTGTTAGGTATCTTTCATAGTGAATGCTCAAAGGAGTTAGATCTGTCATTACTTTTGAACATCTCCACTATTGGAAACACACTAGATCTTCCTCCCTTTTCAGGCAGAAACACACACGTTGGTATTTCTGGTGTACAATTACCCAGAAGAGTGCCTTGCCCCATAATAGGAGGTAGTATAAGAATATTTTTGACTGAGTGAATTTAGAATCGTAAGGAGAAATTGGAATAACTTGATTGTAAATTACTTCATTTTCTTTATAATTTTAAGTGGATATTATTTCAAGATCCTCATTAAATAATTACTAAAGACTATTACAGAATCGGTAAAAGGAAAACATCTCACATTTTTTAAAATATATTTTTATTAAGTAAACACCATGCCCAACGTGGGGCTCAAACTCACAACCCCAAGATCCAGAGTCCCATACTCTCTACTGACTGAGCCAGCCAGGTGCCCCAAACATTTCACATTTTAAAAAAGTAGTGTCAGGATTAAAGAAGGAAAAACTCAGGTTTCAATGAATATATAGCTCATGTCTCAAAAAAGATAGCTTTTTGCTGGTTGAGTTCATTTTCATTGGACTCCGATATGATACTGAATCTTTCATCGATTTCCCATTAGAAACATAGACAAATTGGAGACTTACCACAAATGGAAATTATTAAAAGAAAGTGATGAACAAAGAAGTTGGCAATGCTCATCAGTGACAGACTGTAAAGTCAGAAAAAAATTGGCCTATAAACATAAACAGATTGAGAACAAGCTAGGGAAACTACAAGTATCTCACTTTTGGGGTATCTTCCCTATTTACTAGTTGTAATACATCAAGTATGAAACAATGACTTTTAAGTAGTAATTGCTTTGAGCAACTTTTGTTGACAGCGATTTACATTTATGTGTATTAGGAAATACTGTTGCTATTATTATTCTTACTTAGACCAAAGCTGATTCGAAATTGAAATCTGTAGGTTCATCACTAGGTTTTTAAATATTAATACGTAAAAACCATTTTGATTAAAAAATAAAACTGACCAGTCATCTTGTGTGATGACCTCACAGCATTTTATAGGTATTAACTTAAAAAGATTAGAATAAGTAGACAGTTTTAGTAAATTTTTGTTGTTATTGTTTGGTCTGTACCTATAAAAATTGATCTATCCCAAACTGAAGATTTTTTAAAAAAAGATTTATTTATCAGAGAGAGCATTTTGTCAGAGAGAGCACACGAGCAGGGGGAGACGCAAGCTCCCTGTTGAGCAAGGAGCTGGATGAAGGACTCGATCCCAGGACCCTGGGATCATGAACTGGGCTGAAGGCAGACACTTAACCGGCTGAGCCACCCTGTCATCCCCCAAACTGAAGATTTTTAGTAGTATGCCAAGGATCAGAGAGGAACATGGTATATCTTCCTAGGCCAGCAATGTTTACTCCATGTAAAGTAAAAGTATTTTTATATCAAAATATACCAATGTACTGATAAGCAGGATTTACATTAATTTTTAGTGTAAGTCAGAAGACTTGAAAGCAGTTTTATTTTTGTAGCAGGTCATTTGTTCTATCCTTCAAACCCCAGGACATTGAAGATAACCCTGATAGTGGATGTTAATGATGCTCCATATAGAGAATTTCTTTTTAAAGGATCCTTTGTCTTCTGGCTTAGAAACGCAAATAGCACAATGAATTTTCTCAAATAATTTTGTTTCTATATATATATGGAATCTCAGGTGCCATTTTAATATAATTTTATAATAGACATTTCTAAGTTCTTTGGAGTCCTTACATACATTGATTTCTTCTTCTACACAAGTAGGTACTGGTAAGGAAAATGGGGTGAGGGTTTTAATTTGTAATTCATATCCACTATATCTCTTCTACCATACTCCTTTTTCTCCAACACCTAAGCTTTAGATTCCTTTCCCAATAAAGCAACTAATTCATCAATAACAGTAAAAATGACAATGGCTATCATCTACTGAATGGTTTTTTTATGTTCTAGGCACTGTGCAAAGCACTGCTGTGCAATGATTTCATTAAATCCTCACAACCACCTCTTATGATGGATATACTTTTATGAATGAATCATATGGTATTTGTCTTTCTCTGACTGACCTATTTTGTTTTTTGAGTATTTTGTCAAGGGGCCAAACACCTGGCAACAAGCACATAAGCATACCGAAGAGGAGCAACTGGTCAATACAAAGATCTTCAATTATTAATTGCACTAATATCACCCTCAATTTTTAGACCCTCCCTTAATTTCCCGGCAATGTTTGGTGCTGGAGTCTTTCTGGGGTTGTCCTGGACTGGTCAGAGGTTCCTCCCCAGAAGCATCTTCTGTGAGGCAGTTACTAGGCTACAGCTTGCTTTTCTCTGGCTCCCCAGTTCAACACTCTTCTATCTATTTTGTCTTCTGGTTGTGTACTGAAATCTCTAGTCTGGTGAGAAGGATCCTTCCTTTCTCTACATCTTGATGGTACCATGTACTTGTTCCTTTACTAGTAATTTAATGGGAACTGGAGGAGAAGATACAAAGGCATGTGTTCACTATCTTGAAGTGAATATAAATTTCATTTTTACAAAAACATGGTGAAATTGACTTCCACTTCTGGTTAGGATATAAAATACAAAAGAACTTTGATTCAGTGGAAACAGAAAAATTCCGGATAAAATAAACATACAATTTATTGGAGCTATTGCAGAGTAGTATATACAAGCAAGTCTAGGTGAAATAAATCCCGAAGAGAGATGAGTTCTTCATAAGTAAGCAGAGACTGAAGCAGCTTCTATACCTAGGACACATGCCTATCTGGATGCTGGTGACGTAGAAATGGAGCTGCCATAGACGAGATTTTGCAGAAAAAAAGAAACTGACTGAACTTTCGAGGATATTGTGGGCTGGTGAGATGGGTCTGAAAGGTCATTAAAGGCTTGACCCAACTGCCCTGGAATTTTGCCAAAAAACGGGCAGTAGAGGTGGACTTAGAGGCAAAGAGAATTTATGTAGCTTTGTGCATCACAATTGCCAGAGTTGGAACCACATTTGAATCCAAACTAAAAGTGAAACACAACTCTTACTCCAGTTCAAACACTAAAATAATCAAATTGTTCAGTCTGACAGATACAGCATGAGAGATTAGGGACTGGGTTAACTGAAGGTGAACTTAATCTAATTAAAGCTGCAGCCCAGCTCTAGCTCAATTCAACTTGTGGAGAATTCTGAAGGGTAAATTCTCTCCCTCATCACCATAGAATGAAAGGCATGCACTCCCTCGACAAACACAAACTTACACTTTACTCTCCACTGTTCTTTTATGTACAATACAGAATACATTTTTTAAAATTCTAAGGCATCAAGAGGGGAGGAATCAGACCTATTATTAAGAGTAAGCAGTCAACAGGAAGTCCTAGCCACAGCAATCAGACAAGAAAAAGGATTGAAGGGCATCCAAATTGGTAAGGAAGAAGTAAAACTTTTACTATTGGCAGATGGCATGATACTATGTAGACTCCACCAAAAAAACTACCAAAACTGATAAATGAATTCAGTAAGGCCACAGGATACAAAATCAATATACAAAAATCTATCGCATTTCTATAAACTAATAATGAAGTAACAGAAAGAGAAATTAAGAAAAAAGTCTCATTTATAATTGCACCAAAAAGAACACCTAGGAATACACTTAACCAAAGAGGTGAAAGACCTGACAGTTATAAAACACTGTGAAAGAAATTGAAGATGACACAAACAAATGGAAAGATATTCCATGCTCATGAATTGGGAGAACAAATATCGTTTACATGTGCATACTACCCAAAGCAATCCACAGATTTAATGTAATCCCTATCAAAATACCAACAGCATTTTTCAGAGAACTAGAACAAATAATCCTAAAATTTGTATGGAACCAAAAAAGACCTCAAACAGTCAAAACAATCTTTAAAAAGTACAAAACTGGAAGTATCACAATCACAGGTATCAAGATATACTATAAAGCTGTAGTCATCAAAACAGTATGTTAGTGGCCCAAAAACAGACACGTAGATCAATGGAGCAGAATAGAGAGCCCAGAAGTAAACCCATAATTTTATGGTCAATTAATCTTCAACAAAGCAGGAAAGAATATGCAATGGGAAAAAGACAATCTCTTCCACAAATGTTGGGAAAACTGGACAGCTACATGCAAAAGAGTGAAACTGGACCACTTTCTTTCACCATACAGAAAAATAAACTCAAAATGGATTAAAAACCTCAATGTGAGACCTGAAACTATAAAAATCCTAGAAAAGAACACAGGCAGTTATTTCTCTGACATGGGCCATAACAATATTTTTCTAGATATGTCTCCTGAGGCAAGGGAAACAAAAGTAAAAATAGGTTGGAACTACATCAAGTAAGTTTCTGCACGGCAAAAGAAATTATCAACAAAAAACACAACCTACTGAATGGGAGAAGATATTTGCAACTGACATATCATTTAAAGGGTTAGTATCCAAAATATATAAAGAACACCAAAACCACAAATAACTTAATTAAAAAATGGGCAGAAGACATGAACAGACATTCCTCCAAAAAAGACATGCAGATGGCCAACAGACACATGAAAAGATGCTCAACATCACTCATCATCAAGGAAATGCAAATCAAAACCACAATGAGATACCCCCTCACACCTGTCAGAATGGCTAAAATCAAAAACACAAGAAACAATAAACATTGGAGAGGATGTGGAGAAAAAAGAACCGCCTCAGGCACTGTTGGTAGGAATGCAAACTGGTGCAGCTACTGTAAAAAACAGTATGGAGCTTCCTCAGAAAATTAAAAAAAGAACTACTATATGATCTATCATTCCACTACTGGTTATTTACCCA